TGGAAGGATCACTTGAGACTAGGAGTTTGAGACCAGCCTGGATTACATTGTGAGACCTTGTTTCTAAAAAAATAAAACAAAATAAAATTAGCCAGGCATTGTGGTATGTACCCATAGTCCCAGCTACTCAGGAAGCTGAAGCAGGAGGATTGTTTGAGCCCAGGAGTTCAAGGCTGCAGTGAGCTATGATTGCACCACTTCACTCTACCTAGGGCAACAGAGCAAGAACCCATCTTAAAAAAAGAAAGGAAAGATGCTCAACATTATTAGGTATCAGGGAAACTAAAATCATAGTGAGATGTTATTCTACTCAGCAGAATAACTAATAGTAAAAAAACTGACAATGCTAAGTGTTAATGAAGATGTGAACAGCCTGATTTCTCGTACTAGTAGGAATGTGATATGTTACAGCCACTTCAGAAAACTTTTGGGCAATTTCTTACTACATTTACCTTGTGACCTAGCAATTCCTCTCCTGGTATTTACCCAAGGGAAATGAAAGCAAATGTCCATAAAAATACTTACAGAAAAATATTCATAGCAGTTTTATTTATAATAGCCTAAAACCAAAAATATCCCAGGTATCTGTCAACAGTTGGATGTATAAACAAATTGTGATATGTTCATACAATGGAATATTACTCAGCAATGAAAAGGATCAGACTCATACATACAACAGCATGCATGAATCTATGAAACATAAGACACAGCTCCTGCCATCAGAGGAGTAACAGTCTATGTGAGGGTGGGAGAAATAAGATATATTAACATATACAAGGAAATCCATTCAGATGAGCAGTGCACATATTAAAAAATTCACTAAAGGGGCCAGGCAATCCTAGCAGTTTGGGAGTCTGAGGTGGAAGGATAGCTTGAGGTCAGGAGTTCGAGACTAGCCTGAGCAAGTGAGACCCTGTCTCTACAAAATAGAAAAATTAGCCAGGCATGGTGGCACACGCTTGTAGTCCCAGCTGCTCAGGAGGCTGAGACAGGAGGATCACTTGAGCCCGGTAGTTAGAGGCTGCAGTGAGCTGCGATGACACCACTGCATTCTAGTCAGGGGGACAGAGTTGAGACCCTGTCTCAAATACTAAAAAAATTCACTAATGGAAATAAAGGGCAGGGACTATTGGGGAAAGCTGCAAGGAAGAGGGAAAATGCATTCTAGCAAGGAAAACTGCAGGTATAAATTGCCTGTAGGTTAAAAATACACAGGACATCTAAAGTAGGAATACACCATGGGATCTTGTCTCATAGTACTTTGTTCTTTTCTTTCAAGTTCTTTATCACAATTTTTACTTACAGTTATAAATTAATATACTCAGTGGTTATATATCCCCCTCTGGGCTGTGAACACCAGTTTTTTCACGTGTTCTTTTCTTAGCACTCTTACAGTCCCTGATATGTAATTGGTTTTTAGTAAATATATGTTGAATGAATGATATGCTTAGGAATCAGGAGTACATAAGGTATTCTGGAATAAGAATTAT